CAGTCTATCCGACTGCTGAGCATTATGACTGACTTCCGTACAGTGGAACCCTGCATGGAGTGTTGCAACAATGTGCGTGACCTTGCGTTTCCCGGCATCTACGGACCATTCCAATCTCACCCTCGCGTAGCTTGACCGGCCTGCTTTCTTTCATGTTGTCAGACGAAATGACAACGGGCAGCGTAACCTCCACGGACGCCCACAAGATGGCATACGCCGCGCGAAGTCATGCATGGAACATTGGCCAGAACAGATTTAGGGACGCGTTCCCAGAGGTGCGTTGCCCTTGGACCTCAGCTACTAGAAACTCATTATCCTCTGTAGTACTGTGGCACAACGATGAAGGACCCCCCGAATATGGGCGAGCGCGAGCGTGGCAAACCGGATGCCGCCAAGGTAGCGGCACCTAGCAATCCAATTCCTGCCCCAGCCCCTACACCTACCTTTGCTGTCACTGCCGCCGTACCAGACTCTGCGAACGCACCGATACCAAACGACGTGACTTCGAGCACCACTGGGTTAACATCCGCGAAGTCGCCAACGTCCTTACCATCCGATCCCGCAGGCGGTCCCGCTCGGGCGTCAGGTTGGATGGCCCTATTCTGGCACAAATGGCGATGGGGTATATTGATCGCTCTAGCTGTGGTCGTCAGCAAGATATCGAGCGATGCATAGGCACGCGACGAAGGTCTTTATTTCAACAACTGGCTCCACGCAGGAGCAAAGCAATGAGAGAATATACGCACTGCGGACTGGTCTTATTTTTTTGGTAATGTAACATAAACTACTCTACTCTCTTTCCACATCCTTTCACCTTTTTTTGTCACACCATCAATACATAACTTGAAGATATATACCCAAAACAATGTTCCTACGACGACGAACTGGCCGATATGTATGCAGCTTGAAGTGTATTGAAGCTACATATGTTCGAGTTCAGACGTGCGCGCTACCGTTGGAGGCAGCTGTTTGCATCTGGACCTACTGAACCTTTATGTTTGCGTCTCGGGAGGCGATCTCGGAACGGACAGCACTATGTAGATGATTTACGCTCTACCGATGCCGAATCGGGGCGTTCCCCATCTCGATACGACACGGTATACTAGATGGGATCTGAATTCGCCATGTTGGTGGTCGCAAGCATATTGCACATTGGTAGTCTAGTGGTCTTTATTCATTCTACCGGACTGGATTCCTCCTCCTCCATCTCATCCTTGATTGTTTCCTCTTTGGCAGCAAACTCCCTCTTGAAAGACGGTTGCCTTTTGATGGACGATTCTCTCTTGACAGACGATTCCCTTTTCACAGTCAGCTCCCTCTTGACAGACAACTCCTTGATTGGGGCATTCGTCTTCGGTGGCGGACAGTTCGACGACCGTCCCGGGGTCGTCAATCTTTGGCCGCCCTTCGCTTTCTTGCACTGCCGTTGGTATCGATATTCAGCTAATTCGGCCTTGTGTTGGTATTAGTGAGTGCATTCGGCAATACCAACAAAAGAAGAGTCCGCACCTCTAACCGCGCTACTCTAAGGTTAGCCTTAACGTGATGAGCTTTGGGGTGGACCGGTGAACCAGATAAACAAGGCTCACTTCCATTCTCGCAATCTTTGCCTGGTGAATCTCTTCGTCGTCCTCTTCGTCTTCCATGTCGTCAATGGGATCCTGAGTACTGCCAATGTCCTCATCTTCGGTATCTGATATCTCGATGACTTCGAGCTCATCAGGAGATTTTCGCTTTCTTGACGAAGTTGGGAGGTCGCTGCTAGATTGGGTAGAAGTTGGTCGAGGGACAATGCCGTTTGCTTGTAGATATGCTAGTGCACATGTCAGACACTGCCCAAGAACTTGGACACAAACTGGGTACTGACATATTGGCCTATATCGAAAGACGACAGTGAGAATATGATCACCGACATTAGCGCTGTAGTGCTGGGCAGACGGAACATCCTTTTTCTCCCCGAGACTGCGTGCATACTAAGGATCAACAAGTTAAGTAGCACTGGAAGACGGTACATACCCTGCATGATGCGCTACGGGTTTTTTCTTCTCGTGAATAGCCATTTCTAGTGCTGAAGCATCTTCGATTCCTGGCGCGACCTCGAATTCATGCGGGTCTGTGGATTCCAGGCGATGGTACTCGACACGAATTTCGCCCATTTCTTTCGATACAGTCTTATCCAGCACCTCATCGTTGTCTTCAAGGCCAGTTATAGAGGAGACGTAGGGAAGGGGTAGGTTTGACCCACCGGTGAGATTCGTAGGAGAAAAGAGAAGCGGACACTCGGAGGTTTGGGCGACCCTCACGCCTGTGCACTTCAGATTTGAAATGTTTGAGTCCTTTTTGTTGAATATTCCCATAATACCAATTCCATCGACATAGAAAAACGCCGCGGTATCATATTCTTGTGTATGGTGCGTCAATTCAACTTGGAAGGCCTAACCCATGAGCCACACTGCAATTGCACCGCCGCAAACGCGGCATACCTTGCCAGACTCAGAAGGGATCCAACAAGATATCTTATTTGTTCCAGCATCGTATTCTGTGTCGTACTCTGGGAGGTCCGTGTTGTCGACAATGACGCGGGCTGAAATTCCGTTGTGAAGAACCATGGTGGTCACTGGTTGGGAGGAACTGCAGTACAGCATCCGACTATTATTGCTCGATCGGGTCGTGAGTTCGAGCCTCTCGATGCGCGATGGCCGGCGCGTTGAGGCATGGGGCCGGCACCGTGCTTCCGAGTATGCTCTGCCGGCTGTTCCCTGTCCAGCATCCTATCCTATCCTATCTCCGGAGCAGCGCTTTGTTACTTATCTGGTTCAAACTCGGCGCAGAGGGATTCTATATACATATATGATGCTACCTCCCGCCGCGGCCGCGGCCGCGTCCCCGTCCGCCCTCTCTTCGTTTCCTTGCTCTCTCCTCCTCTTCCGCTTGCTCTTTTCTTCTTCTGGGATCGATAACGTCGGCAGTCCGTACCCTTGCCTCGTCACGAACCCCATGTGTTGTACCTAGACGCTCCCGTTCCCGCTGAAGACGTTCATCCCGGTCCCGGTCGGTGCCCTTACTGGTGTCGCCTGCTGTCCGTGGGTCGTACACATCGTAATCCTCTTCGGCCTTTCTAACCTCGTCCGCATTGTCTGTCGTATCCTTGAATGTGTGCGTAAGGAAATCCAAGTCGTCGTCCACCTCAGCCAGCTCCCCTTCATCGGCTTCCACGTCCATGGTGTTTCGATCCATGGCCGTTTCCATTCTCCGGGTGAAGGCATCAAGCTTCTTGAGCGCCTCAGCCTTGTCGCCGCCTTTCTTGCCCCGCTGATATTTCGCCAGCTCTGCCGCAAGAGCGCCTCCTTTCCTCTTTTTCTTGGCTGGCGCATCGTCATCGTCCTCCCCAGCACGCTTTCTTGCCATAGAGCGGATTTCAGCCTCCATCTTCTCAATCTCTGTTTGCCGGGCGCCAGCCTTTGTCGGTTTCTCGGCTGCACCCTTGCGAATTTCTGACAAGTCAGCGGGTTTGGTAGCCTCCTTCGACGATGCCTTCGCAGGTTTCCCGAGAAGATATTCTTTCCTGTCCTTTGGTACGGCTGGGGCGGTAACCGGGGCAGTGACAAAGTCGGGGACTGGGTCTGCCAGGTCGGGGCGAACGATGCTCTTCTTTTTGAAGATGACCTCTTCTCCACCCTCCTCCTCATCTTCAAAGCTGAGCAACTTGACATTCTTCTTCGCCCCTCGCATCCTGATCTCCTCTTCCCTCTCCTTCTGTGCTGCCTGTCGTGCTTTGGCCTGTACCTTTCTCTCCGCCGCGGTGATCCTTGGCACAATATCGTCGAAAGGATTCTCCAGCACCCGCACGGCCTTGATCTTCGGTGGATACACCGGGCGCCCTTCGCCGGAGCTGTCGAGCTCAACCTCGCCGATGCGCATCACATTATAAATGGTGTCGCCAATAACCCGCCCAAAGACTGTGTGTTTGCCGTGCAACTCCTCGGCGCGGTCCAGCGTAATGATGAACTGACTGTCGTTTGTGTTCTTTTGGCCTTGGTTAGCCATAGCGACTATGCCACGATGAGGAAGCCGTAGACGCGGATGGATTTCGTCCTCGAATACGTCGCCATAGAATGATTCACCGCCAAAACCGGTACCAGTCTTGTCTCCGGCTTGCACGAGGAAAGAGGGGACGACACGATGGAAGATGACATTGTCGTAGTATCCTTGAAGTCGTCAGAACACATGATGGAACCTACTAAAGACATACCTTCGAGTGCTAGTGCAATAAAGTTACGGCACGTTTTTGGCGTTTCCTACAGCGCGTCAAAACGTAGTCGGAGGAGTAATAAGTAGTGGAATGGAAGAATGCAGTGGGTGGAGTCGAACAGGATATAGGCTGGTCCATGCATGCTCTAATGGGCTTCTTTGCAGGAAGCTGCCATATCAAAGTGCTCCTTGAGGAAACACGCGGGAGAGTAGAGAATGAAACGCACCTTTGCCCATAGTTCAATTCGTATATCCCCCACTGTTGTCTCTATTACTACTTCCCCAGATGTTGGAAGAGCCATCTTTGGTGTGCTGGCGGGCTTGGGATGCAACTGCCGTGCGGGTGAATAGGCTGCAGTAGTTCTCTCTCGGGTATTGGGCCTTTTCGGATGTTTCCTGGCCAGTCGCGCCCGGTTTGTGCCCAAGCCGCGTTAGGTGAGAGTCAGACGGTGAAATGAGGTTAACCTTAACCCTAGTCGCAATGTCGTTGCGATCACCTTTGATCAAGAATCCTTGCAATGAGTTTATTCGGCGTTCGAATGTGCACTCCCGAAAAGTCCAATACAGTATAGAGGAATGCCCAGCTGTGTAAATATGATCAACCACGGCCGCGCTACCGTCCAGAAAAGGCGCTCAAAAACCTTAGGGTCCGAGAAAGACGCGACATTGGATGCTTTCCCTTGTGAAGAGGCCTAGAGGCTAGAGCTGAAATTAGAAGCTCCAGGCAGCCTCGAAAATGACAAAATGAACTGCCCCTGTGAGGCTCGAACTCACGACCTTCCGATTGAGCGATAACAGTCGGACGCTGTAACCAACTCAGCCAAGGGGCATGTTCTGAGTGGCACGTGCTGACAATCCAACTGGAAACTCTAGCTTTCGCGTCTGTACTTACCAGGTACTTACTCATGCCGATGCCAGACGCTCGTGAATGCGTCCAATCACCAATGGTCACAAAAGACACTCTATTGGCGCACATAACATACACAAACCGACAGTATGCACACGACAAGACCAAGACCAGGAGAACGACTATCATCTACGACAATTGGGTATTATGCGGAGGGAGCAGCAAGTCTACTCATAATCTAGGTCCGTCTGGCGGTCAATCTTGATAGCAATGGCGGCGTTGGAGCTCGTGATATGATCCTGCTGCTGCGTTAGTGAGTGCCGACACTTGAACAGTGCGAACCATGTTCGCTCAACCACTACTCACTTTATCGGCGCGCTTGAGGTCCCCAAGTTGGTAAGAATTATCCGCCTGTGTCCCGCCGCTAGCCTCAGCGCTGCGAAGCTGACGATTGTTCGACGAGGACACCACTGCGCCAGCAGATGTCCCTCTCAAACTCTCCCTAACATTGAGCGTCGCAAGGATTGAGTTGGCATACACTAACAATGACACGGTCAGTAAGCAGCCACCGATAAGAAGAAAAGACATAAACACACTTCTGGAAAGTAGGACGTAGAACAAGAGCACGTATTGCTGTGCAGGTAGAGCGATCGCCGTCACGAGCACGAGGATGGCGCAAATGCTGGTCATCGCGCCCGTCGTCACGGAATAGATTGCCTGAAGTCTTGTCAGCGTTACGTTTGAAGCGGTAGAGGGGTAGGTCGCGAGTGTATATAACACATGGAAGTTAAGAATGGGGCAATGCGAATGTCGGGTTTGAGCATAGATGGGCGCGATTCACAATGATTAAAATACGTACAATATCCCGTAAAATTCTGTTTGTACGCGCCATACGTGTCTTGTTTGAAGCAAGGAGATATATCATGGCCAACGCGATGAGAACATCAATCGCGGCGCCCATGCCGTTGACGGCAATGACAATGTTCGTCAAATCTCCCGTGAACTGCGTCGAGTCTCTTTTCGCACCGATAACCGACATAGAGTCTGTATATGGTGTCAATAATGAAGTGACCCTTAAAGAACCCCCAAGAAGACATACATAGCTGGGTTCCTTCCTGTGCGCAAGCGCAAAGACCCTGGAAAGAGGATTAGCCAGTGTTCTGTACTTGAAAAGCGGGGAAAACGTACGAGGAATACAGGAATGATGATTTTTCCATGCGCGACTGCGTGCCAGTAAGTTTATGCAGAATCGCGGCAATGGCACTACACGCACGCTTCCAAATACGCCAGATGTAGAAACCTTGCACAAGGATAGTAATAAAGCCCTGTAAACGCAGGTGTCACGCCCATCGTCCAACGTTATTGGTACGCAAGAAGACTCACAGTCGGGTATGCCATGCCAAAGTAGCTGTCAGGAAGGACCGCCAACTTTTCTAACTGTCCAAAATCCGTTACACATACTCCATACACTGAAAGAAAACATCAGCACATGATAGCGCCAAATATAGGCGATGAAAAGCGCGGGGAGAGATTTTTCGTCGTGCCGTGAGACGTGAAGCAAGCTCGCAGGTTCGCCACAGATCCAGCGGTAATTCACTCACTCCACATTGTTGTACATAGCGTGTGTATGAAATCGAGGGCAACGACGACAGCAACAAGGGATTTTAAGCCCATGCTGTCCGAGAACTGGCGGCCCGAGCCTTGTCCACTGAAGTAGAACCACGCCTGCGACATGGTGATTCCATGGAGGCTGATCTAATTAGTAGTTGCGACAGTGCGGACATAGACTGGGAACGTACAAAAGGCTGACCGACAGGCCTACGATGATTTGGTTAGTCTTCGACAACAAGGGGCGGAAGACAGAGCCGACCTATGAAAAGGGCTCCAAGTCTATAGATGCAGGGTTAGTCGGAGCCCTTCAAATGAGTGTCATCGAAAAAACGCACGTAGTGTCAATTGCGCTCATACTCCCTAGTAGCGTTGCGATTTGGCAGTGATCTCCAGACGATATGAACGCCCAAGTCGGTAATATGTGTGGAGTGCAGATCGCAAAAGCAGAGAAACTACCAGAGGCTCAAGAAGTAAGGAATGAAGGCAAAAGAGGAAGAGTTGGTGAAACGAACCTACGTACTTTTATAAGTCGAGTTGTGCCAGTACACGCTCCACAGCGCAACCAGGGTCTTGGTATTGTATTCATCTACGTAACACCTACCACTGTTGCATGTTGCACGCACTCGTTTCCATTGAAGCTGGTCTTCTCCCCGAAGAGACCAGGAAGAGACCTCAAATCGCACGGATAATGTGCGGATCACCCGTTTGTTCCGCCCGTGTCTTTCAAGCTCAACCTAAGTTCAACGTCCATTCAAGAGACCGGATGTAAGACAAGGGTCCTAGCTCCGCTTGGCTCACATACCGTTTTATCGGTACGCCGTGAACAACACATAGTAGTGATGGGATCAGGACGGGGTTCAGAGGTTGTGTTGCCGTCAGGTTGCCGTCACGCTTCCGTGAGTCGCATCGCACGTGTTGCGTCCACATATACTATGAGATTATATTGAATTACTTTGGTGGCGGCCTTGGCCCTTGTTGTGCAATCTAATTGCGTGTTGGAACTTTAGCTTCAGATGAAGTCTCTCACAAGCACGAACTGCTACTCGATGCCTTGTTACTACTGCTCTTGCGTTCACAGGTTTTCATAGCACTCGATTAGCAGTCTGAGCTTCATAATCACTCGTGTCCACAAGATGATAATTGACGACCTTATGCTACGAGGATAGCCTATGAATCTATCCTGATTTAATATATGTATATGTACTTATGCCTTGTCACATACGTCGACGGACATTCAACATTGTTTCTCCGGTGCTCCGTGCGTCGGCTTGCCGCCAAGTGTAACTCACTACTCTCGCACCTCGTATCTGAAGCGACGGTGCGCAATGCGGGGCCCCATCACAAGGATCCGTCTTGAGATGTTACGCAGATGGACTCCATTGGACGCACTGCGGAAGAAGACATAAGTTATTATCCTTCGAAAATTTCTCGGTATCCACATCAACACTAAGTATACTGAGCCGCCGAGCTTGCGACGAATCTGGCATCGTAGCCGTGAATATGCCGGACACGTGGTCGTGACATTCCTTCTATATTTCGCGAACACCCAATCGCAGGCAACCAACAACCAGTCCACCATATCTTGGCGACACTTCGGCTCTCTCGTGGGCATGTAGATTATGTACACACGCTCCACTGGAGAGTATGGAACTCAAATTGGGCTGCCCTCCTGCTGGATTTGCATTGAAATGACATACAAGTGTGCAAGGGCACAGCGCACTAAGTCGCACTTGGAAAGAAACGACGGCCATCAGCCTGTGTTACCTTTTTCCTGGTCTCGCGAGAAGAGCTATATAAGCTAGAGGTTGTCTACACGACCGACACCCTTCCCATTCATATTCAATCTACCTCACATTCAACCTCATCTTTGCCTTGCACAACATGTCGAGCGATTTGTTCAATGTGTCAGGACGTGTCGCACTGATTACAGGTATGTACACCTCGAGAGTCGTCTTCTTCTGGTCTCAATGTCGTCGCAGGCGGCGGCCAAGGGCTCGGTGAGCATATGGCAGAAGGCCTCGTCAAGAACGGCGCCAAAGTATACATCACTGGGCGCACGGAGTCAACGTTGAAGAGGACGACGGAGGCCCTGAATGCAATCAAACCTGGCGCAGCGAAGTAGTACGTCGACCTGATTCTCGTCTTCTCCCTGCGTAGTTGATACTCGTTCCAGCTGCGTGTGCGACATAGGAAAGAAGGAGGACCTCGAGAAGCTTGTTGGATTTGTCAAGCAATACGAGACACGCTTGGATATCCTCATCCAAAATGTACGCCATTCCATTTCCATCTCCCGCCGTTTCTGATTGTTTTTCAGGCTGGGACCGCCGCATTCGACATGCCATCGCCTGAGAATGATATCTCTGGATCCATGGACATGCCTAACCCCTTCCCTATCACTGCATCGCTGGATCCCAGCCAGTGGGAGGAGCAGTTCCGCGCGTACTGCTGGTCTCCCTATGCTCTCGTTTGCATGGCCCTGCCCCTTCTTGCAGAGGCTGCTAAGCTAGGGGAAGGCCGCGGCAGTGTCATCATGATCACATCCATCGCAGCGCGTTTCTTCAATCCCTGGTGGCGCGTCCCAGCGTACAGCTCGGCCAAGGCAGGCATGGAACACTTGTCGAAGATCATTGGCGCGCGTGTGTACCCTTACGGTGTACGCGTTAACTGCATCGCGCCAGGGTCCTTCCCATCTGCCGTCAACCTTCCAGATAACCCGTACGCAATGTCGAACCCGGAAAACGACAAGCGTATCCCTCTTGGCCGCTCTGGTACGGCTGACGACATTGTTGGTACGTACCATATTCCCCACTTCAATTTTCTGCTAAATTGTGTCAGGTGGTATGCTTTTCTTTGCGAGTCGTGCTAGCGCGTACGTGACTGGTCAGTTTATGGATATTGACGGTGGTGCGATGCTGGTCGCAAACGGTACAAACAAAATTGCGCCTTAGTTTCATGCTATGTACCACTTTGAAATTGTAGTGGGACTTTTGGATACAAACGCTAAATAGAGCGTCGAATTCGAAGTTGGTGTTACTTAAATTTTAAGCAAAGGTGGCAGGAAGCAGGATGCACTGCATGAGGAGTAGGCCCTCATGTTGGGCTCATGTTGGGCTTTAGCGTTGACGGACAGCGGCGGCAGCGGCACACAAGTGATAAATCATAAGCACTTAGTACAACAGATGCCTGGCGCTGCTTGCTGCAAATAGAAAAAAAAAGTCAGCCTAAAGACCTGGCGTTCCCTCTAGCCGACTTGAACGACTGACCTCGTCATGTATTCTTATTACTAGTGACGCGCTCTACCACTGAGCTAAGAGGGATGATTTAGAGCCGCGCGCAGTTTTAATTTCCGTCTCAGACTTTGAAGGTAGGCTA